TTTTTTGTCTTCTCTCATTCTTCCTTCACATTCTCTTCTTCTCTTTCTCCTCCTCCACCTTTCTATTATTTTCTTTTCTTCTTCTTTATCCTCTGCTTTTCCTTTTCCGTTTTCCCTCTTCTGACATTTTTTGTAGCTATTCATAGTGATTATTAAGGCATGGTCCCAGTATGCTAAAACTCATCCCCAAGATGCTTGTTGCAATAAGGCTTACTTCTGCTAAACAGCTACTGCACTTGTGGCTTCCAACTCAAATTTATTTATCAACCTGTCACAATTATTGTACTTTCAGGCCCAGAACTGAAATAGATTCTTTACCCTTTGAATGAAAGACTGTTTCCAGGTAAAACAAATAAGCCTAACAGGAGAACTGTTAACATTATTCTGTATGTCTCCCTCTCTGAAGGGAAACAGAGTCCTTGGTTCCTTTAGAAAACTATCTTCTAAGAAGCCTTCCTAAAAAGACTAGTGAGAAATAGCTTTGTTCACCTCCCTCTCTTCTGAAGTATCCTGCTTCCAAAAGGGAGGAAATGGCCTCTGAAGCTCACTGTATCAGTAATTTCTGTGCTAGCATTTTTTCCCTCCTCCCTACTGAAAGTTAAACACCTACACACTTGTGTAAGATCTATCCAGGAGGACCTGTGGGTCCCTCCACTGGCTGTGATAACAACATGACTCAAATTCACCAGTGGCATTTAGGAGCCGTTTAATGCATGCACAAATACAGCAATGTGTATGTCCACTGAGGGTCAAGAGAAAAGCTAAACTAGATTAAGATAGGGGCTTTCAGGGACTGGAAAGGGGAGGAGTGTAGTTCGAGCAAGCTCTGGTTCCTTTTCATCTCTTGGAAGGAGCAGGAGCAGATGTGGATAGCTGGAGGAGGAGGACTTGTGTTTTGCCAGCTGAACTTGCTGTACCTATCTCTTGCTCTCCCTCTGCTGCTGTAAATCTCTCTCTTGTGTGTCAGTTTTACCCAGAATTAAACACAGCTTGCTTCAGTGCCTGATGGGCCCAGAGCTGACATGCTAAGGAGCTGAGGCATATGTTAAAAAAAAAAAAACAAACCCACTTTGAATTTGTGTGTGTGCGGCCACAGTTCTGTGTTTTAGGCAGCTCATTCTTTTGCTACTGTGTCAATAAGATTTTGGAAGGCTTTAACAGACATTGTCCTCTGCTTTTTGCACCCGTAAAGTGTGTGTGTGCTTGTGATGGGGGGGCACCCCATACATGCCCACATTGACATATGCTTCAGTCATGATGCATTTTGCAGGCCTGTGCATTGTGAAGCAAGGGAAACAGATATGTTTGGGCCATTAAATGATATGTAAAAGGAAGGTTTCTGTAGAAATAAGGTGTTCTGACAGTATCAGGGCTCAGTACCTAGCACTAAAATGCAGAGAGTTGGAGGCCCATGAATGAGGGCCACTGAGAATTTTTTCCTGTCCTCTCCTGCCTCAAAGGCAATGTAGTCAGCAACCTTAGTACAGTGCTTGGTATCTTCTGATCTGCAACAGAAGCCTATAAAAAAATCACCCTACGCCCGGTGGTAACACTGTAGCAACATCCAGGCTTTCCAAATTCTCAGGTTGGATTTTCCCATGTCTAAGTGGTGTTAGAGAGAGCAGACAGGGCCATCTCAACAGCACAATGTCACACGAGACTTTGTCTTCCATGGAGCAATTGGCTGTGAAATGTCCTCGAGTGAGGGCCAGGGCCTCCTACACCCACAGCACATGTGAGCATAGGGAATGAGGCAACCACAAAGAACTGGCTGCAGAGCATGATTCAGGCTGCCAACTCCTGGAGCAAATCAGAGTGAGAGGGATGCTGAGCAAGCTGATGCTGCTGGCAGAAGCACCGTGTTGTCAGCATAAAAAGAGTATATCTTCTCTGCATGGCTCCTGGTCCTGACATGCACCCAAACACCCTCCTGCCTCTCCATGGGTTGGGTTAGCATCAGAGATCCTGCAGACAGTGCTCTGCCAGGCATTCATAGGCTCTTGGTAATGAGTCTGGATCATGTTGAATCTTCTTCCTCAGAGATTCTAACCCAGAGAAAGCAATCACCAATGTGTGTTATCCCTTCTGAGAAAGGGATGACTTTACAGATACTTCAAATATGAGCCAAAGTTGGCTCTACATTTCCACTGCAGACAGAAATGTGGGCTCAATATGTAGATGAAAGTCGAACGGCCAAGTCATCCTGAGAGGACTTCCATACAATGTTGATAAACATACCACTGGACCTATGAAAGGATTTTTTGGCCAGTAATCTTAACATGTAATGCCAAAGTTATTCAGTGTGATAGAGCTCTAGTATCAAGACAACAGATGTGTGTATATGAGACTAGTGCGGCTGGTGCTGTCAGGTGTGACTATAATCCAGCTCCACAAACCCTGTCAGAAGCAACAATTCCCTTGCTCTCCAATGTGCATTTTGGTTTTTGTTTCAGAAGATTAGGAAACCTGTCCTTCCCTAAAAGAAAAAGTTGGAAACAGCTCATTGTTCTCTTGAGGGCTCTGTCTATCTTCCCAGGCTTCCTTGTGGGTTCAGAATTTATGCAGCAGTTAGCAAAATCCAAGCTCTGCTCATCTGTCAGAAGCAAACAGTGTTATCTTGTATTTACTGTTTATAACATCTGCAAATTATCCTGATTTCTAGGATATCCCTTTCCTGGCATCCCTGCTATCTCTGCAGGAATACAGGCAATATCCCAAAGGGCCTTCTCCTCATGGGTGAGCAAGACAGTCTGGTGGTTTGCCTCTCCTACTGTGTAGGAGCAGCTGTGTGGGGCATGCACGGGCTCTGGGCTGAAAGTGAGAATACCAGAAGCTTGGTACTTTGCCAAACCTGCCATGAGGTAACCATGAGGAAGTTTCCATAAAGAAAAGGTCTTGCAAAGTCCCCTTGGCCTCTTTGGGATCCTATCTGATTCCTATAGGCAGATTTACCGGAGAGTGGTTCTGCAGCCTCCCCATGTGCACGTGGTGTACACGGACGCGGTGGTTCGTGTCCCCCTGCTGCAGCACAGCTCCTTCTGTCCCAAGTAGGCTCCTACAGTGATGTGCAGCTCCCAATAAGGCTGACAGAGTCAGTTCCTAACCACATTAAAATCTCTCCCCCCTCCCACCTTTCTGAAGGAGGAAAGGGAGGTATTTTTAAAGTAGCACTTGTTAACAGCTTTCAAGGATGTCAGTCCAATTACTTGGTTTGCTCTGGTGCTTTTTTTTGTGTGGATTGCTTTTTTTGTGGATTTTTAAATTATTTTTTTTAAAATTTTGTATCAAACCTAGAAGCAAAATATCAACTGTAGAGGCAAGCTGGGACATACCCAGTTGCACTACAAAGAACAAGAATATGTTCAGCTCTCAGATCACAATTGTTAGAGATAAATAAGAGTCTTGTGCCTGCTGTCACCTCTATGTTCTCTTCTCTCTAGACTGGCTTTTGTTTGATGGCTTCCATTTGAAGTGTCCAGTGCTTTATCTTCTAGGGTTTTCTATTGATTTTACTATCTTATTCTAGTCCTTTTTACTTCTGTTGGCCTTTCCTTTCTGTTGTGTCCCTCACTGGTCTGAATGGCTTTCGTGGGTTACAGCATCCCCTGGCATCACTGCTTAGTGGGCTATTTATGTGCACTGAACATCTGCAAAGTGGGAATTCACGTGCATTGAATAATCTCTTGAAAGAAACACAGTAGCCCCAGAATTCTTAGAAACATGATGTCATGGCAGCTCGTGAGCTTCAGATTTGAAGCTGGAGTTGTTCTTCCCCAGCGGAATGTAGCAGTGTTCAGATCTGGGATTATCTCTACTCTGGCTGTATAAAAATAAGCAAGCAGGAAAATCAATGCCCTTGTGAGTTAAATTTTGAAGTTCTTAAATAGTCGGAATGAAAAATATGGAAGTCAGTCTCTCAGTCTGCCATCATTGCTTTTCATTACCCCATTTTTGAATAAGAGTCTGACTTTCAGCCTAAAATCTGAAATGAAGGGAAGACTTGAGAATGTGATAAGGAACTTGGCCTTCTCACAAGCTTCTTTTCTGTCTGTGCTGCTGGTTGGCTTTCAGATATAGTTTGGCTCTACCTCAGGCTCAAAGGGTGGATCTTCACAAAACTTTGAATCCTGGCAGTGTACATGTTTACATTTAGCCTATATGTCTAGATGAGTTTCATAGATGGCAGTGTAAAACAGGCTTCTCTGGTGTGTGATTTGTCCTCCTGTGAGGTAGACTGTCACATGCAGTACTTTGGAGGTGTGTCATATTTTGGGGCCCATTGCTTGCAGTGAAAGTTTAGTTATCCAGCCCAGATGTGTTCCTCTATACTCTGGGTGCCTACAGTTTGTTCCCATAACCCATGAGGAGCTGATGCTCAGGAGGAACCAAATGTTGCTGGTGGACTGACTTGTATTTCCTCCATTTGTGTGGACTTCTGTGAAAGAGCTCTTGGTCTCTGTTTGTCCATGCCGTACATGTACAGTGAGAATAAAAAGGATCTGCTCTGCTAAAAAGCCTCAGAGCTGATGTCTGGAACCCAGTGGGCACTTGTGTGCTAGTGACGAGGGTGGTGGGTGCATTTGAGCTGGGGAAGGGTCTCTTAACTACACCTACAACAGTGTAGCTGACACTAAGGCAAGGAGCAAGCTGGCTTGCTGCACTAGTACAAACAGTGATAAGCAAGGAAATCCTGGGACAGCCCCTGCTCATGCTGCCAGGGCTACACTCCTGGCAGTGCCCAACCCAGAGAGACTGAAGCTTGCAGAAGTGAGATGGGTGGGGGGGTGTGTGCAGGCTGCCTGCTGGGAGGTGTTGCATGTATTCATGTGGCTGCACTGCCAAGTGACCAGGCACTGTGTGAAAAAGCTCTGAGAGAGGTAGATGGTATCTTGCCCCCTAAAATTTGCTACATCCATGGAAGATAGAGAAAGGGACAGAGAGCTGCCAGGAAATTAAGAAACTGGCAAAGCAGGGGTGAACCTCTTCACCTCTCTCTGCAGGTCGCTACCCACAGCAAAACAGAGGCACCTACATCCCAGTCCTGGTAGGTGATGTGCTGAAACCCGGTGAGTGGGGAGCCAAGATAACTCACAGGGAGAACAAGTCCATTCGCCTGTCCATCATGTCCTCTGCCACCTGCATCGTCGGGAAGTTCCGCCTGTACGTTGCTGTCTGGACTCCCTTTGGCATCCTCCGGACACACAGAAATGCAGTCATCGACACCTACATCCTCTTCAATCCCTGGTGCCAGCGTGAGTACCTTAGCAGAGACAAGGGTTCACACTTCCTGCTGCCAGGATGGTTGGCTTTTGGGAGGGCGTGGTTCAGCAAGAGGAGCTTGGTACCAAGGAGGTTGGAGACATCCTACTTTGGGTCTAGGAGTTTTACACTCTGCTAAGAAGCAAGTCCTTCAGGCTGGGGAATAGCCCTGTGTGAGCAGGGCTTCATGCTGCAGAGCTGTGCCTGTGCTGCAGCTGCACTTCGCAGTTTTATGAGGCCAACCCTGTGTTTACCAGCTTGGGCAGTGCAATGATGTTCCATTTCTCATGGTAAATATACCCTAAGGCTTTGCTCTGACTTTAAAAGGCATCAACATGAGCCTTCTGCCTGCCTGTGTATGCCTTCAACTGACAAGTCAATATGGGCATGTTTTTCACCAGGATTTGGTGCGGGGGGCAGGATGTGGGAGTGTCCCATACTCTGTAGAGTTACATTGCTGATTGTCACTTTTAGGATTGAACATCTGCAGACCAAAGCCTGCAGGAATTCCATGGGAGCTGCTGCTCCTCCACAGGTTGGATGGAGTTAACCTGCTGTGGCATCACTGGTGGTGCCTTCCTGCTGCTACATGACATTTGCCCTTACAACCTCCCCCTTAGTGGTGACTAATTAACAGCAACTCTGTCCTCTGTGAGGAATAGAACATTTTGCAAATAAGTCTGTTTTTTATAAGCCAGTCGGTTGAAGAACATTTTTTTTTTTTTTAAATTTCCCTGAGCCCTGAGTAAAACCAGCCTTATACTGACAGAACTGATTTTACCAAATGAACTCCATGTGTAGCTTTAAGGAGAGGACAAGGAGGACCAGAGAAGTTTGGCTCAGGCTTCTGACAAGCTATAGCACTGTCTCTCACCTTCCAACACTTGTAAGGCTACAGGTCATACATATCACTATACATTCAGCTCTCCAGCTAACTTTAATGTTCTCCCACCACCCTTCCTTTGTCTTTCAATTTTTTTACCAGTTTTTGCATCAAATAATCCTGTTCAACGCAAGGGCCATCCTACCAAGTGACGAGTAAGTTCAGCATTATTAATAGAGTCCATTATTCAGCTGCACTCCTGTCAGTACATCAAATGATTTGTGCTGAATTCATTACTTGCCCCTGGTCCAAGGGAATATAAGCAATGATTAGCTTATGCATTATTTAGGAAGATATATGTTAATGCTGAGTAAAGCAGAGTTAGTTAAGCGGGAACAGGAGGGAAAGGCAGGGCCCAAGGCCCTGCAACACCATGAGATAGTTCTGAATAAAGCATAGAGGCAGGTACCTCAGAGCAGCACACTAAGTGTTTTGTGTGGGAGAAGGAGAGTGTGTAAAAGGGAGGAATCATTGCCAAAGATATGACCCACTGGTGAGCAGGCAAAACTGCTATATGTTTGTGAAGGCATCATCAGCCTGTCACAGCTCCAGCTAGGGAGGTGTGATTCTCCACCCCACGGAGAGCATCCCTTGGCTTTAGTCCTAGGTATTGTAACACCCAGTTTGCTCACCAGCACAGTGACTCTGTAGTGGCTCAGCACCTCTTTGGAAAGGTAAAAAAACCCAAAGAAAAAGCTTCTTAAATTGCCTCAGGTTGCCTCATCACCAGCATATAACCAGTGAGAGCTGCAAGCAGAATGTGCAGAAAAAATGTGATGCTGGGGGCTTGGCTACCCCTCCTGTGGTGTGACTGGGATCACACAGGCCAATTCAAGGTGCTAGTCAGGGAGTGGGAAGGGGAAAATCAATACCTTCTTCACACCTCCCTCCCAGCAGCCCTGTGGGCTGTCTGATCCACTTCTGTTCATGGCACACAGTCTCTTTTCTCTCCTCTGCCCTCCCTCCCTCACACTTGAGCTGAATGGGGCCAAAAGCTATCAAGATTAAAGCCACAGTGTGGAAACAAACCCACAGGGAGCAACACAGGCAGTAGTTGCCTCCAGCAGCAGCCATCAGCAAGACCAACAGAAAAGCTCTGCTTCAGGAAAGCAAAAGAGAGTCTCTGGGTAGCAAGGATGTGCTGTGGGCCCCTAGTCCTGGGGGAGCCAACTTGGTGTCACTCCTGGAGGACATTTTTGTCTCCAGCTTTCATGTTCATGTGTGTCTCAATGGCTTTATGTTATGTCCCTTGCTGACTATTGTTATTTTCATTTCTGCATGTTTCATTTGGATTTGGATTCTCACTTTTTGCCCCTACTTTTACTCCTAGGTATTTTTGGGCTAATTTGCTCCTACATCTGCCTGTTCCCCCTTTCCTTGTGTTAGAAAACCAGGGACTGTTTCTCCACACTTTATCCCCTGCTGGAAAAGATTGCTCAGTTGAATGACAAAAGGGTATAAAAACTCAGGCAGATGAAGTGCAGAGAAAACAACAGTTTGAAAATCTCCTAGACTTGTTTGCTGGGTTAATAGCCAAGCAGAAAAATCTGAGTGAAAAGCCTCATTAAAAAGAGAGGAGGCTGATGCCAGGAATGAATAGGGATTGTCAGAGCAGGGAGCAGAGTATGGGCTCTGTCAGTGTCTAGCGCAGCTTTCTGATTCATCATTTTGAAGCAACATCAATGTGTCAGTATGAGCTTTTCTTTAAGACAGAAGCATTTGTGCCCTTTCTTATTACCCCTTTCTCACTGTAGTTCAGTTTTGACATATCTTCCCAGCGAGGAATGCATGGGGTTTTTTTTGCTGTTTCAGAACAAGTTTGAATACTTCAGCAGTCAAGCTACAGAGTACTTTGCTTCCAAAATCATCAAATGCTTTTATATGTTTTAATCCCCTTAGCTACACTTAGGGCTGATCATCAAGAATATTTTAAGGATGCAGATGCAGGGCCTGATCCTGCAAAATGGTATGCACCAGCCCCAAACATCTGGGAATTCAGCAAGCTACTGGGTTGAGATTTCAGATACCCAGTGAAATTTGCACTACTTAATAAGCAAGGTAGAGCCTGCCTTATTAAGTAATAATAAGGAGAGGCAGCATCCTTTCTTCAGCCTGCTGACATAGTTGGGAAAAAGAGATGTGCTTTTGGGCATGCAGAGTCCTTTTCAGTTCTGAAACAGAAGATACAAATGGCGAGCAGTGTTAAGGATTTAACTTCATGGAGTTTAACTTAACTCTTAGCAGTATACATGAAAGAAGAGAAGAGCTCCTTTGATCTGGGTACTGGGAGCTCTTTCGAAGGAGATGCTGAGTCCCAGAAACTTTCTGCTGAGGAACGTTCAATGCTTATCAGAAAAAGACTTCACATTGACTTGCATGGCTCTCCCACTGGTGGATATGCAGGGTGTACCTGAGTAAGTTGCAGACCATGTGGGCTGAGGTGTGCTTTTCATTCACCCCAGCCTCCAGCAAAGTGCATTTGTCTAAGCAATTAAATATACTGCATCTTTATTGAGTCAGTTGCACATTTCTTCTGCTTAAATATCCTAATACAGTTTGAGGATTAGTAACGTGTAGTTGACTTTGCACTCCTCACGTGTTACCAGTCATCAAAATTTGACCCAGTAAGATTTTCTTGCATTACTGCTAAATCTTAAATTTGATCTCTTCTATCATAGCTGCCATGTGAATAAAATTCACACGGAGCTTCATCCTTCTGCTACATTAATATAGGCAAGCACTAGCAGTTCCAAGGCAGCATGCTGATCTTGGTCCTGGGTGGAGAGCGTTTTTTGGAGAACTGCATTTAGTTCTGGCATGTCTGTGTTTGTCACAGCGCTGTCCTCTTTCCAGCAAGAACCCTGGGAGTTTTGTGGTTCCCACAAGGCCCAGCTTTGCACTCCCAGATTCCCATGGGAGAGCACTAAAGGGAAGCAGGATGCTCAGAACAAGACAAACATCTCCACCTTCACTTGTCTGCTGGTGCTGCTGTGTTCAGCAGTCACTTTGTGAATGAAGAAAGAGCATTTCCAGCTCCAGGTGCTTGCTGTGCTGGGAATGGGGTCCCCCAGACTGGGTAAGGGTCTTCTCATGCTAACTCAGTTTCCCAAGTTGAAAGGGCTGCTCAGCACTCCCCATCTCTTTGACAAGGAGTCTGTGTTCAGCGGGATTCCTCACCTGCCATACTGTCTTCACATGGAGTGTATTTTCACCTTATCCATCTTCAAACAGAGAAGCATCAAGTCTAATGTGATTCTTTGTAGCATTGCTAGTGTCTTAGTAGTTTCCCAGGATAAAAGAAGTTAGTAAAAACCTAAACTGCTAGAGAAAAAGAACAAACAAACCCAGCACATTTCCATGGAATTCTTCTGTTTGTCAGATGTGAGCCTCCACTTGCACAAAAATAATTAGGAGTTGTACTATGTAGAGCATGCTTAGCATCAAAGTAGTAAAAAATACCTTGTATTTTCTTCTAAACAGTCTCAAGGGCAGTGAAAGCTGTCAAAAATCAAAGCAACTGGCTTCTCTTTATTAAAAAAAACACAAATATTTTAAAATAATTGACAGAAGCTAATCAATTTTCATCTGGTTTTGCTAAGATCATGCAGTCTTGAAATAACATAAGCATGTCAATTGATACCAACCAGATCAATATTGATATTTGTAATCCCGGAAAGAAAACAAGTGCTGTCAAGAAGGCATAAGCACACACTCCACTGAATGTGTAACTGTGCAGAAGAAGGCGTGAGTTCTCCTGTAAATGTGTTCTCTGTATCCTTTGTATGGATGTGCTTTAATAAGATCCAAAACTCAGTGAGAGAATGCTTATATTTCTTCAATCAGTAAATCAGGCAGATCCAGCCTAATGAAATGGAACCTAGACAATCTGTAACATCTGCAACATTTTTTTGTGGGATGTTATGCCAAACTTTTTAAAAGCTGTGAGCTGGACGTCAGGAAAGTCATCTAATATACAGTTTCATAAGTATGAGAGACTGTGCTGGCATAAATGACTGGTAGCCTCTGAATATAATAAACCCATGAAGGCTCAGGATCACAAGTCTTATGAGGAGTGGCTGAGTGAATTGGGGTTGTATAGTCTAGAGAAGAGAAGGCTGAAGGGAGACCCCATTGCTCTCTATAACTGCCTGAAAAGAGTTTATAGTGAGGTGGGGGTCGGTCTCTTCTCCCACATAACTAGTGATAAGATGAGAGAAAATTACCTCAAGTTGTGGCAGAGAAGGTTCAGCTTGGATATTAGGAAAAAATTTCCTTATTGAAAGAGTGGTCAGGCATTGGAACAGGCTGCCCAAGGAAGTGATAGAGTCACCATCCCTGGAGGTGTTAAAAAAATGTGTGGATGTAGCACCTCAGGACATGGTTTAGTTGGCATGGTGTTTTTGGGTTGATGGTTGGAGTTGATTATTTTAGAGATGTTTCCCAACCTTAATGATTCTATGATTCCATCTTCCACTTTGTGTCCATGTGCAGGATGGCAAGGTCATGAGTAGTGACAGGCCTATAAAGAAACTTCTTGATGGCCCACCACCTTCTTGATGGTGGTAAAAACCACCACCCTGCCAAATGTGAAAGCAGCTCTTGGAGCTGCCTGCCTTAGGAAAAACCTGATAAAACATGTTGTTTCTCTGCTTGCTTGGATTCAGACATAATCTGAGAAGCCTGTACTGTAGCCCTGTCAAAAGCACAGTGGCAAACACTGATCTCCTCAAACACAATCTAGGCTTCTTATATCCAACACCTGCTTCCCTATCATTCCTTGCACTCCAGTGAGGAAGTTGTTATGTTACATATGTATGCATAATCCTTTCTTTGCGTATAGGCATAGAGATACAAATACATCTTCAGAAAAAACAAAACTTCCAGCAGGGTCAAGTGTGTAGATCAGCAAAACCCTTCACTTAGCTGAAGCCAGGGTGAGTTCTGCCATTTGTTTTTTTTTCAGAGGGCTCAGATTTTAGCTTATTTTCAGCCAAATTGCAGTTTTATAGGCAAATGAAGAAGCTTTTGAGGATGAGGTTTACAAGGAAGTACAAAGCTGATTTGCATTTCAACAAAATGCAACAAATCAATAGGCTTTTAAAACTTAAATGATCCTGTAGTTATTTGTAGTGTGGTGATGAAGAAATCCACTGTGCCAGTAGTAAGTGGCAGTTTTGTACTTGCCTGTATCAAACTCATAGAGGTTATTGCTTCCCTTTAATTTGCTATCTGTTACTGCTTTACTGATTTCTTCAAAATTAATTAATTCCTATACTATTAATTGTTAAGCTGGATCTGTTAGTCTCACAATACAAGCATTGGAACAGGAAAGAAATCCTCAACTATTCTAGAGTCACAGAATTACCACCTGTTTCATACTTACCAATGAATTTCCAAATAGTTTTATGTCATTCAGGGTTATTTATGAATGTTAATAATGGGGTAATGTGTGAATAATGTTTGCAGGGTCAGGGTCTATGCATGTGCTCTTGACTCTTGAGATAAGACCAATCTAGGATATACCCTTCGCACATGTTTGGGTAAATAACTCTTCCAATTACTTCCAGTTTTCACTTGGACACTTGAATTTCTCCTCTTAGCTGGTCAGTCAAGCTGTGTGGGGAAGAGATATTCCAGTCAATAACTTACACACAGAAAAAGCTATCAAACCCTTCTGTTAATACACTATAAAAATGGTATTCCATTTTTTTAATGCACTACAGATTTTTCTTTAGATCTCTTGACTTGAGATGTTTTCCATTAATAGGTTTGAAATTGTTCTTTGATCTGTTTGTACAGATGCAGAATTGCATCATGGTGCTCCAGCTTTTAAATTAGTGGTACACAGTAATAATAAAATTCTTGATAGGATGTGACATTTTAATCATACTTTACAGATCCAGAGAAAATAAGCAGCAGTTGTCAGCATTTTTGCATCTTGCCTGCTTTGTGTATCATATTTCCTAGCGGGGGCCACTACCTCCTTATTCTTGTACTTCATTGAAGCAAGTAATGTGTTCTTTCCTGGAAGGGGAGTATTTTTCAAAAAAAGATTACTACATTATATACTAAGATTTTGTATCTGTTCTATATGAAAACTAAGTGACTGTGTTGACATTTATTTTTTGTAAACCAATGCAGAGGATGCTGTGTATCTGGATGACGAGAAGGAAAGGGAAGAATACGTCCTGAATGATGTTGGCATTGTTTTCCATGGAAACATCAACGAAATAAAATTAAGAAGCTGGAGTTATGGTCAGGTGAGCTGTTTAGACCTTCTCTGGGCTGCTCCCAGTAGGACAGCAAGTGAGTTTAATTGACACCAGACTGTGGTTGAGACTGTGGGCTCTCGGGCGCATTATTGGTCTCTCCTTCAGAAAAACAAGGGGAATAATTTTAAAATTGTATGAAGTAGGTAAATGCCTCATCCAGAAAAGCAGTGTTATAATAGCTAATATTTAAAGATTCTGTTTTAAGGGCATATTTAAGATACTAAGAGGATGCCTGTTGAAAGTTATAATAATTAGCTGAAGTTTCCACAGTGCAGCAATGAGTGCTGGGAACCACCAAGCAGAGGGGCCCATCCCTCTGAAGGGGCTACAGAAAAGCTGGGAAGAGACTTTTGGCAAGGGAAGGGAGTGAGAGGACAAGGGGAGATGGATTAAAACTGGAAGAGGGGAGATTTAGATTAGGCATTAGGAGGAAATTCTTCCCTATGAGGGTGATGACACTAGAAAAGACACTAGAAAAGGTTGCCCAGAGAAGTCAGAGAAACCCCATCCCTGGAAATGTTCAAGGGCAGGTTGGATGGGGCTCTGAGCAACCTGGTCTGGTAGGTGTCCCTGCCCATGCAGGGGAGTTGTATCTAGATGATCTTTAAGGTTCCTTCCAACCCAAGCCATTCTATGATTCTATCCATTCTATGATTCTATTCAGTATTTCTGCTGCTACATCATTGATGCTTCAGAATCAAACCAACCTGGTGAAAGAATAGAGTTTGTTTGTTTGTTTGTTTTGCAGCAGTAGGTTGTATCGCTTTTTGACTCTTAGTTTTAGCAGCTTGGTGGAAATAATTTTAGTTTTCTTAGGGATCAGCCTGTCACTGGATCCCTATGACAAACTGGGATTTAATCCCTGAGTTTTAAATTTCCTTTGCTGCCTGGACTTGACAACATCACTCTTCAGTGGCCTCTCACAGCCTGGGGGCAACATCCCTCCCTGCTGGGCTGGTGTGTGGTACTGCTGTGCCTGCGGTAACATCAGGCTTACTGCTTGCCTGTTTTACCTAGATCTGTTTGTAAGTGCTTACCAGCCTGAAATTACCTACAGGATGAAAGAGTTCAGTTGTTGTGTGGGAATGGGAAAAAGGCATTAACAAACAGAATCAGAATGAGCAAAGCTAACCCAGCTGTCACTCAGAGGAGCTGTGTTGGGCACTTACTTGACATGGTCAACTCTGCTTGTTTCACCTCCTGGATTTTTGAACAGGACAATTAAGAAAGTGTGGAAGTATTTCCTTAATGCTGGGGTGACAGATCCATCCAGATTTTGTGGCACCTCCCTGGTGCAGCCTTGCAGAAAAGGGCCTTCTTGCATTGCTTTCTTTCCCTCAGCTAAAGACAATCTCGAATCTTGAGCTGAATGTGTGCTTGCCCTGGGGAACTCTTTGAGCTCACTTCTCACTTGTTTCCTTATTTAAGGGTATAATTTCTTCTTTTTTTCTCCTGCAGCAGCACTGCCTTAAGGGAGTTCCTGCCTCTGCCACCATTCCTTTGGTTGTGTCAGTGCTGTTGTTTGTGGGCTCTAACTGGCATCCTGGCCCTTAAATAAGATGGTGGGGGGAGTGCAATTCCATAAGCTGTTGGTGCCTCTGATAAAAGAGGCCAAAGCTGGGTGGGCATTTAAGTTGACCAAAAATGCCCCCTCCTGGCCCTTCCCTCCCCTGCAAGTACTTGTGCAGCTGCGCAGTGATTCAGACTGAAGAGCTGATCTAGCTGAATAAGCATATCTTTGATTTTCCTCCCTTCCACTCCAAATTATTTTTTGGGCTTACTCATTTCCTAGATTTGGGATTCACTCTGGGAGAGATGTAAAAGGGAGGGAGAGACAGGAATGAGTGGCTGGAGGTGGGTGGTGTTGCTTAAACCAGCTGCTGGATTTATGTCCTGAGATGCTAAATTTATGACCTATGGTGGCTTGGCCTGAGGTGCTTATGTGCTGCAAATCTGGCACCTTCCTGACACAAGCACCAGCCTCCTGTGAGAAACTGCATTATTTATTTGGTTTTGCTAGGAGGTAGTTCTGTGTGGGAGGCTAGGGCTGTTCCATAGCCCTTTGTACTTTCATTCCTGTGTTGTCTGAAATTGGAGGACCTGATTTCCACACTGTGCTGTGGCGCATCTTTTGCTGTCACTTGCCTGTGTGAGAACTGAGTGTGGCAGATGCATCTAAGTGAGCCTGAGCCAAGACTTTTGATGAAATCGATCACTTTGTATGGATGTAACAAGCATCTTGAACTGCAAATCAATGGAGAAATATTCTTGTGTTTCCCTCCCTTTCAGTGACATGGAGGACATGATATTCCTGATCTTACCCTGACAAGTTCCAACCATTAAAAACATTAATCTTCTGCACTTTCAGCAATCCTGGATATTAAGAATAAGAGAATTATTGTGAGTAAAAGTACTAGCAGCAAGGCTTATATTATGGATATATCATACAAGTATGCATTTTGCATTTATGATATGTAGCCTTGTACAACAGTGTAAGTAAAAAGCATAAGGCAACATACAGTCATAGAGGTAAAAGGTCATATACATATGGTTATAAGCAAATATACAGATAGACTTGTGCATGGTAATATCCTTAGGCTAAAAATTTGCTTTGGACAATGGCAGCTGAAAGCTTTAACTCAAGTTGCAAATTAAAAGGGAACAGACAGGTCAAAACAGGGCTACTAGCAGGAGATGATTCTCACAGCTGCTGCCTTTAATGAGCAGCATCTACATGAGGGGAGAAAAAACAAGAAAACTGGACTGAGGAAGAAAAAACAGACCAGCTGAAACATGGCTGTAATGAATGAGAATGGAGGTGTTCCTTGTAACACGACTGTGATTCCTTTCTTCTAAGAAAGCATAAATATCCAGTCACTCAGAAAAGCCCACAGGGGATTCAGGATAAATTTGGCTTAGTAAGAAATCTAGGCACATAGGAATTCTCTAGCTGAAAAATATCAGAAGCTGGATGCTGTATTGATCATTTGACGTTGGGGTTTTTTTGGGAGAAAAATAGAATTAAACAGGTGTTCATAGAGTTCTTGTTGCCATCGTGTCCTCATGTTGAGCTGCATTAGCTTTGCAGCCCACTGTGCAAAGGTAGTTTTGTGGCACACACAAGTGGTCAGTTCAGACAGCAGGCAACGTGAGATGGCATCTGCCTGCAACTGACTCTGAGAAATACAGCCCTAATTCAACCAGTGCCAAAGGTGATACAGCACCTCTTACTTTGACTGAAATGGAAGGTCACCTCTTAGAAACAGGTGAGCATGAAAGAAAATGCTCACTGAAGGCTGGCCGGCTAAATGCACTGCACTGTAACACAACGCATGGCTGTGTGCAGCCCTTTGCCTGTGTATTTTCTCATGCCTTGTTTTCCATCTGCAGGCTTTTCCAAGAGGGTCTGTCAAAGTTCCTTGGTCATGAATTTGGTTTATTTCTCTTTCGGCTTGTGTTGAACAAGCAGTGCCTGCACCTGGCCCAAGTTCACTCTCCTGTCCTGGCTGCCTGCTGCTGCTTTGGTTCCTCTGGTATTTCAGGGGTGTTTAGCATTACAAGTACTATGTTTCTATTCCAATATCCTTTAGACAGCATTTTCATACCAAGAGTGAGATCAGGAAACTGATTTAGTTTGATATAATGTTTTAAAATCCTGGATAGTGAAGAAGGGCCACGTCCTACACTACTGCAACAGTACAAGGCAGCTAGACTTTTCAGCTGGTCCTCTATCTCTTCTCCTGTTAATCCAGATATTTCACAAGCATTCATGACATTTTATGGAAAGCAACAATCCTGATAGCAATTTATTTCCTCTTTATTCTTTCTGTATATGTTGACAAGATTAACAGTGTCTCATGAACTGTAGATGAGTAAGATTTAATTTACAGGGTAAACTTCTTAGTGATTTGTCTCAGGTCTTAGGCACCACTGATGACTTCAAGTGCAGAAAGCAGATTATGATCCTGATGCAAATGATAGATCATTGGGCCAGACCAGAAGAAAAGTGAACTTGAAGCAGGAAAGGCAGCTACAAGGGTCCAGAGTTCGTGTTATCTATTGTGAGAATTCTCCTTGGGAAGGAGGGTCTCCACAGTACCATCATTCACCTGAGATTATTTACATCACATACCAGTGGAGTAGACAAGAGAGTTTTCTGTGCAGTTATTCAGCTTCCCAGGGATAATACAATATTGGGAGCACGTCCCTGGAAAACACTGGTCTCTCTTTCTTTTTTTTTTCCCTGTTCGGCCAAACACCATGAATTCAGTTTTGCTGAATATATATAAGCTGTTACAAACTACTGAACACCTGCTCCAGAGAGAGTATTTCAATGCATGTGTAGGTGATGATGAGAGAGGTGTGCTGCCTTGGAGGATGTTTGCTGAAAAGGATCCATTCAGAACTGGCACCCTGGGCAATGTGAGCCAGGCAGGTGTGAGGCTGAGGCAAAGAAAAGGATTTTTCTTGGCCAGGAAATGTTGGAGGTTGATGAAATAGGGTGGTGCCTCTACTTTCTTGGCTTATGCCAGAGCTTGGGTGCTGCCTAGGATGTCACTCCCATCCCTCCCATCTTCCTTGGAGAATAAGCAGCAGTCTTGACTCTTTGGGGCTTGCTTTTCAGGTCTCTGGCCTCACTCTTCCTTCTCATCTTCTTCTCCCTGGGCTATCCAAGCCGTAGCTTGGTCTAAGGTCTTGCACACTTTATTCAGGAGGCAAAACTGATCACCCTTATCTGAGTGAATTAAGAAGAGTGTGGCCAGTAGGTCAAGGGAGGTTATTGTCTCCCTCTATTCTGCCCTGGTGAGGCAGCATCTGGAATACTGCATCCAGTTCTGTGCTCCCCAGTTCTTAAAGGATAAGGAACTATTGGAAAGAGTCCAGCACAGGGCCACAAAGATTATCAGAGGAATGAAGCATCTGCCCTGTGAGGAAAGGCTGAGAGAGCAGGGTCTGTTTAGCCTGGAGAAGAAGATACTGAGGGGATATCTCATAAGCATTTATATATATCTAAAAGGCTGGTGTCAGGAGGATGGGACCAGTCTCTTCTGCACTATACAGTGACAAGACAAGGGGCACTGGGCACAAGATGGAACATTGGAGGTTCAAGTTACACATAAGGAAACACTTCTTTACTGTGAGAGTAACAGAGCACTGGAACAGGCTGCCCAGAAAGGTTGTGGAGTCTTCTTCTCTGGAGCCATTGAAAACCCGTCTGGACAAGTTCCTGTGTGATGTACTCTGGGTGATCCTGAAGGGGGGTTGGACTAGATCATGTTCAGAGGTTCTTTCCAACCACAACCACTCTGTGATTCTGTGCTGAGGAACCCTTAGCCAGGCTGGAGACAGTTGCAAAATGAATCCTGCTCTAGTACCAGCATGAGAGCAAAAAGCCTGTTAGTGTGAATCATATCTTTAAGGATGCAGGTGTAGAGCATAAAACCTGACACAGCAAGAGGACAAGCTCCATGGAGTTTCTGTCATAGCCCTGAATGTTAATATAAGGTTGTGTATCTAGAAGATATTTGTATTATTTATGTGTGTTTCCCTGTCTCCTACTGTTTTCCATAGGACAAAGTATTTTCCTGTGCTATGCAATTTCTCCTAAGGAAAATGAAATGCATTGCAGGGCAAGTTCTGTGACAAATAGTTTCTGGTCTATTTAGGCACCTCTGCCCTCAATTCATTCTTGTGCTTGTTCATGCTGGATCAAAGAAACTGTACCTTTTCAGTCTCTTTTTGAAGAAGACTAGGTCACTAGTCTTCTAGGTCACTAGAAGACTCTAGGTCACTTGGTATTTTTGATGCATAAGTTTTGTAGCCCAGGATTAAACTATAAAATCAGCTTTTGACTTGTCAATTTTGAAAATATTTTAAAATTAATTTTAAAAGGAAAGTGTCTTCAAATTAAGTTTGGCAAAACACTTATTGTTTAACTTCTCAGCATTGCACTGACTGTGTCAGAGAAGTCCTGAAATTAACAGGTCTGGCACCAGTGAAGGACACGAAGTCCTTCACCAGCAGACTATCTTCTTGTAGTTATTATTATAATACTTTCCTATTATATACTTGTTAGCACTTAAAATTTTATGTCCTGTCAGAAAGGCTATGTTGTCATTTCAACCTTCTGGAAATAAGACTGAAATTGAATTGAAAATGACACCCTTTTTCCTTCACAGCCTCTCACTTTTTTTTTTTTTTTCCATACATGGACAATTATTCTAGAAGAAAACTTTTATTTTGAACCACAGAATTTTTATTTGAACAGCTAATTTTGAAGCTGACCAGCTATTGTAACAACAACAAGAATTAACTTTGCTTTCCAGGATAAATAATGATTCAATTTTTTTCTCTGTTTCTCTTTTTATTTTATTTTATCTAGTTTGAAGAAAACATTCTGGATGCTTGCCTGTTCCTGATGGACAAGGCAGAGTTGGAGCTCTCTGGGCGTGGAAACCCAATCAAAATCTGCCGTGTTGCTTCTGCAGTGGTATGTAATAGATGCCTAATATGTGTCAGAAACTACTCAAAATTAAAGCCTGACTGATTTCACTGGCCCTCATACCATGACGTGCTCACTCCAACAGGTGCCAGATCAATTGTCCATTCTGACCTCTGGGGTCTGGCATTTTGTTTTGCTCCAATAAAGGTGAAATACTTCTGTCAGCTCATCGTTTTCACCTGAGAATGGTACCTCACTGGCAAGAAAGCCACTTCTAGACATTGTACTCCAGGCATAATGGCATTTCTTGTGACATTGTGCTCGTTTTCCAGTACCTGAGATAATTGAGAAAGCTATTTCTGCCATGGATGGTAAGGGAGAATGATGGGTGGAATTTGAGATGGGGAACTGAGAGACTTTATGTGGACTCCAGCACTAACCTCAATGAAGTCTTAAGACACTGCAGTAGTGAGTGTTACTATATCTGATTTTTAAGCCTCCAATGACTTAGTCAGGCTGAGAAGATTTATATGTGCTATCTTGGCCCCAGAAGAAAACACTGTGAGAGCTGTCCTCTAAAACAAGGGGTCCACAAAACTTACTGCGCTCAGAATGGAAGTGCCTAAAATATTTGGAAGCAGAGAGTCAGGAGAAGCCTTTCTGTATCTCCTTTCTTTCCCACTGCTAGATACCAGGAGTCACCCTGTGGGTGCAAGAGCAGCCCTATCCCTAATATTTGAGATGTAATACTCATCCAGGATATGGAAGACAGAGGCTGAGTCCTCTCCTCTGCCTTAGAGAGATCTGAACTGATGCCTGCTGCTTCCCAGAGAAATACTCTAGTTATTGATCTGGCATCATTAGATATCCTCCCAGGTCAACTACTAAATAGACTGTCCACAAAACATGGCTGCTGGAGCTGGATGGTTCTTTTACCCACTTGTTACAGTGTTTGCCCAGAGAATGGGCGAAATTTAAGAGAATTATCTCTTTGTCTTAGATGACATTGAAACCAGATCTCCAGTGTACCAGTGCCACAAGCTGTGTCTTATACAGCATTAGAAATATGGCTTCAGACCTTCAGATAGAAGTAAGAATTTAATGTGGTTCCCTCATCATTAGGCTTGTAGATGTAAAAGGTCCCTTGTGCAGAGAAGCCTTGTGCAGGCATAGAAGCCCTAAGGGCAGAATAGATGAAGTTTATGAACCCAAAGAGGGCTTGAATATTTCTTAGGTTTTGAGCGTCTCAATCATTTTAGGGGGGTGGAGAAGTTCACCATCCAGGAGCCAATGGACTTCAGGTCTGATCTGCAGAGTTAGGCCATAGCTGGGTGGGATTTCTGACCATCTGAAAACTGGACCTCAATCAGAAGTGGCCAAGTGCTGAAGTCCCACCCATGTTCCTTACCCTTATTCTTGCTCAAGTTGAAATGTGATACATCTGAGATCACCTGAGAAGATACAGCCATGCTGCAAACTTTATGAGGCTTCCTGATACTGCAGAGCAGGTCGAGTCACCCCCATCTTCTTCTCTTTACAGCCAGAGGAGAGCCTGAACATCCACATGATACTCTGTCCTTGATGTGCCTGTTTTTTCTTGGCATGTTTCCCACAACAGTGAGATGGGCATAACCCCTTAACCCTTTGGTTATGATTCTGAATACTTATCTTTATTCAGTCCTGGGGTTCACAGGAGGTCGATTTTCTAATTAAAAACAGTAGTTAATGCAGCCAAAAGCTTTTAAATGTGAATTGTGATTTATTTGGTTGGCATGTAGCTGTTCCACATTAACATAATTAAAAGGTGCAGAGCAAATGAGCTTTTTGCACAGCCTCAACCAGTTTGGTTCAAATTGCAGCTAGGAGATGTATTGCTCGTTAATGTCTATCAGTATAGCCATTAGTCAGCAAAACTTCTTGCTTTGTATAATCTTACCAGGGGAAAACTTACATGGCAAATTCCTTCTTGTTTTCTTGTGTGCTGGACTGAAGAAATTAGTTTCTACTCTAAAAATTGCAGTGGACTCCATCTCCTCTCAATCCACTGTAAATCAGGAGTGATTTTACTTAAATCTCTGGGCTGACACAGACAGAAAAACAGATGGTATAAGGAAAGAATCCAGCTTAATATTTCTGATGATCCTTAGCAAGATTGTTCTATTCATCTTCTACCTCCATAATTAAACATTTCTGCCTTGTAGCCTAAACTTGGCGATATTCAGTCTCTCCCATCCTATCTTTGTCTGCTGGGTTAAAGAGCTCTTTATTATTCGAGCTCTGACATCCCTAATGCTCATTTCCTTTGTCTTTAGATTAACTCCAGGGATGATAATGGTGTGATTGCTGGATCCTGGGACAATACATACAGTAACGGGGTCCCACCTTCAGCCTGGACGGGAAGCGTGGACATTCTCTTGGAGTATTACAGTTCTAAGCAACCTGTGCGATATGGCCAGTGCTGGGTCTTTGCTGGTGTCTTCAACACATGTAGGTACCAGTGAGGAAAGCTCCACCCTGTTATATGCTTGTTGCATAACAGAGAAAGATTTTAGGTTAAACTAGCTAAAATACTTCCTGGCTCTGGGTTGTTCAGAAATAAATAGTAGAGATACTTAAAAACACATGGCTAAAATAGATGCTCTTTAAATAAACTTTTGGCATCTCCTTCAGTGTGGCTGCTTTTCCACACAAGTCTCTTAAGTATTTATTTGTTCAGTAAAATATATTCATTGACACACAGAGGGTAAGTTTCAAAGACAGTTTCTGTCAGTAAATCTAAGATGAACAGGGGGCTTCTCATCTAGACCTGCAACATGGAACTGTTGCCCCCTGTGGGATACATGATTGTGCCTTTACTCCAAAAAGGCTAAATCTCACCTACCAAGGATTATTCCTAGCAAGACTGACATGCAATGCACCAGCAGCTTTCTACTGAGCACTGTTAACACTTTCTATGGAGTCTGTGAGTGAGAACAATGAGGAAAAGCCTGACCTGGTTTAGGAATTGTCTTGCACTATAAGGTTAAGTCTAAACACGCTTGTCTGAACTTGAGTTCCAATGTTGCAGTAAATGGGGTGTTGCAGGTTGTAAAACCCAGTAGGGAAAACACTGTTGGATAGGTCCCATTTTTTTACTGTCTGGCACTTGCTAACAGCAGCATCTCAGATGAACACAACCAACACACTGGAACACACTGCAGCATACTAGAAGTCAAGAAAGACTCTGAGGGTGTAGAAAAATGTGCATAATAGAGATAATGGGAACCAGATACTGGAAGCAATGCCAAAGTCAAGTGCCAGTCAAACAGTTCCTATGCTTATGGCACTGGCCAATAGAAGAAGCTGAACAGAAACTAAAAGTAAACTTATTTCTTTAACCCAGATGATCTTCCTTATCATCACTTAAAACATATGCGTTTAAGTATGAAACTAGGGGAGACCAGATCATCTTAGGACTAGGGGGCACCATGGGTATTTCTGCAGGCTTGAAGCCTACTTTGCATCAAGTACTCTTCAGCCACAGCTGAAGGTCTAAGCTTTGGTTCTTGTATTTAAGATGTGAAAAGAAAATTATAGAAAAACTCTCCATGAAACCTTTTCCTTTTTCATCTGTCTCAATATTGTCACATGTTGCTGTCTCAAGAAGTACATTATACCTCTTTTTACATTATATTTCTATTAAAAATGAAGGATATTAGTCACTCATCTTATGCAGCAAACATGGAAATTGAATAATTAATGACAAGTTACAAAACTGGTTCTTCACCCTCAGGCAACCCTGGACAACTCTGTGTATTCACTTTTTTTTTTTTTGCCTGTTCTGGATGTGTATGTTTCATTTTTTACAATATTTTCCTCCAAATTGGAATAATTTCATAACTCGTTTTGGTTACCTGGGGTAGTTCAAAAGGTGTTCAAAACAGTAAGGACCTCAGAAATAAAGCTGTCTTCTGACCACCTTCTGACATATGCTTCTCACAGCTTTGTCAAGGGATCATAGAATGGTCAAATCATAGAATGGTTTGTGTTGGAAGGAACCTTAAAGATCATCTAGTTCCAACCCCCCTGCGTGGGCATGGACACTTCCCACTAGATCATGTTGTTCAAAGCACCATCCAACCTGTCCTTGAACATTTCCAGTGAGAGGTGCAGTCTCAGATTTCACTGCTTCTCTTTCATGTACCTGGAGAGGTTCCTGTTTGAGTCTGGAGAGGTTTTGGCAGGTGCTCTGGCCTTTGCCTCATGAAATGGTTCTTTTTATTCCTGGTGCAGCAGAATATTGAGCAATCACTCACAGACAAAGAACCTGAGAGACATCTAGTTCCCTCACTGCCTGAGGTTGCATGGTCATGGAAGCACATGATGCTTCTTGGCCTCTGCTCATTGCAATGGGTTGGAAGAGGGTCTTGCAAATATTCCCTATGGGTAAAATTCCTTGCAGTGTCTTTCTTGGGCCACTTTGTCTTCTCTGCTGATTGCCCCATCTGGATTTCTCTAGATCACAGACACACACACCAGTTCTCTCACCTTCCCCCAGCACTGGTCCTGAATCACCACTACGCAGTATTTTGCCTGCAGGCCATTGTGAAACTGGGGCAACGCAGCAGGGGCTCAGAGCCTGCTGTGTTCAGTGGAGAAGCATATATATCTGGGGCAAGACTAGGCTCGGTTTGCTGACTAAGTCAGTCAAGTCAGAGACCTGGCACTTTGTCCCACTGCAAGGATTGCTGAAGCAAAAAGTTTGTTGAGCATTATGAAATGAGAATGTTGTCCAGTGGCTGATCTGATATGTAGCCACTGATAGGTCCAGCTGGTGATGGCTGCACAGAGAGGACAGAAGGGTCCAAACAACCAAAAGGCTTGTTTTGAGCTGATTTTCTGTCTTTTTCAGCTGTCAGTGTTTTATCATTGTGACCAGTCCAGTTTTCCAAGGTTACTATGTTGTACACTCCCAGTAGTCATCTATTAAAAATGCTAAAACATTCTGAAAAATGGTCATTAATCTTGAAATTGTCAGACAAATTATTTTCAATGAGCCCTGATGGCTCTTGAGCTGGAAGTCTGGAAGAGTGCTTGAATTAAGTTTAATCAATAGGTACATATGGTATTGGACGCATCCAGGTAATTTGTCATCCAGGAACTTGAAATGAATGTGCAGGGTTACACTTTATTGGAAGTCACAGTAGTGACACTAATGAATATACAAAACCCAGGAGTAGGAGCAAGGGCCATTCAAGATTGCAGCATCAGAACTATTTTTAAATAGAATTTTCAATACAAATTTCACCTTCCAGAAAAAAAAGGAAAAAAAAACCCTCTATGTTCTGTAGGACCTTGTTGGCTCCTGCATTGGAAAGCAGGAACTTTTTTTTGGCCAAAAGACCAAATATTTAACCTGAAGAAGCTGAGGGGATGTGTCACCCTGCAGCTCCATTCTCCCCTTGGGACCATGCTCCATGTCTACCTGTCAGTCCACGTGCACCACAGACACAGAAGCCTAGTGGGGCACTGCTGCAATTCAGCGTGGCCACAACATTTCCACATATCCCACATTTACTACTCATCAGATGGGAAGGAGAACCTTTACTGCTACACTGTGATGGTCTGAGGTTTAGGGGTAGGGACTTTCTGTTTGGTTAGGTTTCATTTTCTTTTTGGATCCTCCATTTAAGATCCTTTAAGGGAAGGGACCATTGACTCCAAAATACTATTCCTTAGCAATCAATATAAATGATGTAATGCATTTTATTCAGACTCTCTAATTCAGGCATTTCCGTTGTAAATAAAGCAGCTTTTCCCCCTTGTTAGCAGTAGTTTTCTGTTTTATTCCTTATCTTCTCCAGATCCCTTCTGGTGGCAAATGTCAAACAAGAAAATTCCAAATCAGTAAAAAGGAGATACTTTCCATTAATTTTCTTTTCAGCACAGTCTCATGATTCTCCTGGGTTACTGATACTAGGAGACATAATACATTTTGTATTTCTTGCAAGCTCAAACTTACTTTTCTTTATACCACATTTGGTCATACAGTGGACCCATTGCACCCAGATTTGCCCTGAAGATACAGTGTGGTCACTATGCAAGACTATTCTGAAACTGTTGGTAACTAGCTGCTTAGGTTAAATCCATTGTACCATCACATATCTTTAATGATCATCATTTTGGGACCAAATAAAATATTTAACATATTCTAGATAAAGGCCAATAGGAGGAATTGTTTGGGCTGATTTGAATGACTTTTTCCATTTTATTCTAGTTACTAATAGTTTCTCTCCTCTCATCCTGTCACCCATGAGTGCAGTCTTCATATTTGTCCTCATCACACTTCTCTCTTTGCCACAGTTCTGAGGTGCTTGGGGATACCTGCAAGACTTGTTACTACCTATTCTTCTGCCCATGATAACAATGCCAATTTACAGCTGGACATCATTCTGGATGACGAAGGGAAAGTGGACACCAAACTTACAAAAGACTCTATCTGGTGAGTTCTGAGCTCTCCTCCTCTGGTAAATATCTTTTGAGTGTCAACTATATAAGTAGTGAAAAACATGACAGCGATGCCTGTGGTTTATTTGTTTCTCTGTGCATTAAAGAACACAGCTAACTTATGTAAAACAAAATGAATGGATTTTTAGTAGGCTGACTTATATGAATTGCTTGTCATGTAAAGAGACATACCCTAGGGGATCCATTACTAATGTTACCATTCAGTTAGTGCACATCTAAGCATACTGGAGGAGAGCTGGAATGGGTTTGTGCTTCTTAGGGCCAGGCCATTTCTAAAAATGGGTGTTTCCATGCCAGGCTCAACATCTATGCAAGAACACCCTCCTTGTCCTGCTTCTGCCCACTTCCCATATTTATAGTCTGGATTTGCATTGTGTACATGCAGACACTGTTTCAAATAGATGCTTTCCAAAAAGAAAACCTCCTAAAAAGAAAAAAAAGCTTTCTAAAAAGAAAGATCCCTAGGAACAAGAAATAGAGTCTACCTGTTCTTCTGGAGAAGACAGTGCTGTGACTTCCTACTCAAACTCTTACTGTCTCCTGCCTGACAGGAGAAGTGTAGCATGTATTGATTATGTGCTCGTTCAGTAGAAATTATGCATGGGTTACAGGGCCTCAAGCCTCTCCTCCTCAGAGTGTAGTAAATGTGACCTCTGTATCTATTCTTACATTCAGGAGATACTTGTCTTATTCAGTGTTAATATACCTGATTTGTGTCAACGATACCTTCAACTCATTGACATCACTGCTCATCAGCACATTTCATTAACAACTTAATCTCTGGAAGTCTTTATATTAAAACTGTAATAAAGCCATCCTCTGGTGGAGGAAATAACCAAACCTGTTGTTGTAACCTCCTTTATATTGTTTCCATAATCTGTTACCCCCAAGAGGGAATCTATGGAAAACAATTAGTTTCATTTATATCTGAAGCTTATATCACAGCATCACAGAATAGTCAAGACTGGAAGGGTCCCCTGGAAGTCATCCAACCCTCCTGCTCAAAGCAGCTAAAGCAGGTTGCTCAGGGCTGTGTCCAGTTGGGTTTTGAATATATCCAAGGGCAGACACTTCACAACCTCTTTGGGAAACTTGTGCCAGTGCTCAACCTCTTTCACAGCAAAAAAGTGTTTCTTGATGTTTGGACAGAATTTCCTGTTTCTATTTGTGACCATTGCTTCTTGTCCCGTCTTTGGGGGCCACTGAGAAGGACCTGGCTCAGTCTTCTTCCCTCTGACTTCCTAATGAGGCATTTATACACATGGATAAGATGCTATTGAGCATTCCCATCTCCAGGATAAACAGTCCCAGGTCTCTCAGCCACTCCTCATGTACAGACTCTACTGTATCAGCCATTTCTTCCACCTCTATCAGAAAACTTGCTGAGAGTGTAGTAGGTCTTGTCATCCAGGTTGTTAATGAATATGTTAAACAGTATTGGAACCATTATTAACCCCTGGGGTACACAGCTAGTGACTAGTCTACAGCTGGAGCCTATAACCTTCCCTGGCATCAAGGTGGGGCTGATGAATCTGTAGTTCCCTGGGTACTCCGCTTTCTTGAAGAAAGAAGTGATACTTGCTTCCTTCCAGTCCTGAGGAACCTCCCCCAGTCAACATGACCTTTTGAAGATAGATATCAGCAGTCTTACAATGACATAAGCCAGCTGCCTCAGCACTTCTAGGTCCATCCTTTCAGATCCATTGGACTTCTGTGTGATTGGTTTGTTTAAGTGTTTTCTATGTTGCTTCTCCTCTGTGGTTGGTAAATTTTTGTTATTCCAAATTTCCACACTGGTCTCAGGAGCCATGATTTGATACTAGCAGTAAAAAACTATGCAAAAAAGACACTGACTACTTTCTCCTTTTCCTCATCCTTTTTCAACAAGTCCCCTGCTCCATTCACCAGCAGATCCATATTTTCAATAGTCTTCCTTTTGGGACCACCTTATTCACCATGTGGGCTTTGTGCGACTTTTGGATGATTTCCTGCACATAGGGATGGACCACTCCTAAGCTTGGAGAAGATGGCCCTTGAAAAACAACATAGTTCTCCTAGACCCATCTTCTATCCAGAACTGCCTTCCATGGATTCTTTCAAGCAGGACCTTAAACAGGCCAAAGCCTACTCTCCTGTAGGCCAGGTTGTGGTCCTAACTTGTTGTCTCCTGTTAGGATCCTTGGTGGATCCCAGCTTGCTAATCTGCATCTGTTTATGTGACAGTAGGACCTCAGTACACTCAATGGAGCTGGTGCCTCCATGACTCACAGAGCAGTAAAGGGTCACTTTTCTGGAGCCTCCTCTGCCTACTACTTGTATGAAACAAAACCTAATTACTTGCTGCCTCACTCCTTGGCCCATATACACCCTGTAATGGATCGTTGCCACACTTCAGACTTTTCATTGTTTCAGCTCCTCTTATCCCCTTTTCCTAACCTGATCCATGAAACAAGTCTCACCTACTTTTGACATTTATTTTTACTTCCCTACCTCTCCATTTCCCAACTGTTTCCCAATACTTCTTAATTTAGTCCTGGGGGTTTTTTGTTGTTTGTTTGTTTGGTTGTTTTTTTTCTCCTTTCTTTTCAGACAGGGCCAGATCATCCAGTATCATCTTTGCTCCACTGAAATCCATATGCAACTTCACACTAGCATTTCATCCTCCCATCCAACATTTGCTTTTCTTTGGCTTGATTACTTTTTGAACTGCCTTATTCACCCTTGTATCCTCCTGGTGCATTTATTAGCACATGGTGCACATAACCCTTTGGGCATGATTTAATATATTACACACCTTTTTTCATTTCTCCTCTGTGTCCTTTCTTTTCATTACTCTGTAACACTCCATGGTAGCCCACATACTGACTTTAAATGGCTTGTGTCTTAACCTTGATTTTATTTTTACTGTCTCTTTTCTTTCTTTGTTCTTTTTTCTTTGTTCTTTTTTCTTTTTTTTTTTTTTTTAAGAGGACAAGTTCAAGGTATTGATAATGATTTTTTTAAAATGTATTTCTCGCTTTTATTTATAATCTCCTGCAAACTGGAAGCAAAGCTCTTTTTCTTTATTAATATATCATTTATATTACCTTGTACTGCTGGAGCTGATCTGTCTTCAGGTTTTAAATACTCTCAGACTTCAGGGATGCTTGGAGCCAGGATTTTTAGCCCAATCAATCTCTGAGTGTGGGGCTCCCTCTGAATGTTATCGGACATTTATTTATTTTTATTAAAGATCATCTTCTCCCTCAGGATAGGAAACAACAACAACAACAGAACACATACAAAATTACACCGACTTTGCAAAAAGTTATTTTTATAAAGCTGGCCGGATTTGGGCCCATCAGTACTGCCTGTGTCCCCTTACTTTGTTCTCCTTGTCTTTCTTAATGATGATATAAAGACACTTAAAGAATATTTCTCTTGGATGGGAGTCAAGATACGCCTTCTGTGAGGTCTAAGCAGACCAATGTCAGTATCTCAGTGGAAACTTGCTCGAAGTCACCTGGCCCTACAGGGGTTCATCTACATCTGGGCCTGCAGAGAAGGCCCTTCTGAGACCTATGCTCTCCCATTCACTTCCATCTCAGTTTTCTCCAGTTTCTTAATGCTGTCAATGCCTCTCTCAACCCCAAAGCCTGAGCTTATTAGCTAATGAAAGGGCAGCAGCTGTTTCCAGCATGTGCCTGTCTCAAGCAATACGAAGTACCCTTCTTAAATTGTCTTCCAGGCATAAACCCTACCTGGTCATCTTTTATTAATTTCCCCATTGCTTTGTTTAGTCTATTTGTAATTATCTCTGTAAATATTTAATGGTCACTACATTGATCTGTATAGCCATTCTTGCTTTCTTTAATGTCTCAGGCTTGCTGTAGAATACAAGAACTACAGAATCAGTTTAACAAATTATGGCCGTGGAGCCAGCTCCTCAGCTGTGCTCACTTCTTCCAGAGAGGAATTTCTGCTACATTTTGGAGAGACAAATGTTCTAGTCATGCTTCCTTCCTTAAGGTTCATGTGCTTTACAAGCAATGTCTTTCTGTCGATCAACATTCGATATCCTTAAGTCCATTTGTTATTTGCATGGCAACAGACCTAAAAAATATGCTGTCCTGTTGCACCTAGCTCTATGCCAATAGAAACCAGTAAGAAAGGTCCTGTTCCTAGGATGAATATAAAAAATAAATAAAAAAAACAAAAAGAAAAAAAAAAAGAGAGAGAGAGAAAAAAAAAACCCTGCATTACCTAATTGCAGAATTGAAGCAGAGCTTCCATTTTCTCCACAGTTCTGCCCCTCTTGGTCTTACCATCCTTACATCCTGCCTGCTCTTCAGGTTCTTCTTTCACAGAACACACAGCCAGTGACCCATTTGAGTCTGATTCAAAGTGAACCTGTGAAGGCTTCAGAGCAGGGATTGTCTCTCTAATATGTTGGTATAACTGTTTTCAAAAACCCACCTGCCACAAAGTGCATCCCCATTCTCTGGTAGTCCTCAGCAAAGCTCTGTATGCATGATTCAGCCTTTACTACTCTTGGCAACATCTAAAATTCTCTGTGTGTCATTTTCCTTGAATAATTCCTTTCTCTATAGTACTGCTTCATTAACTCTCCTAACTGACAAATTTTACCCTGATCCAAGCTTTCATTTCCACTTTGAAATATCTTGTTAGACAAGCCTCAGAACCTTCCAACTCTGCTCCATGTCTGATTTTCACCTATTATTAATGAAATGGCCAGAGTTTAACAATCCCCATTTTGGTTGCTAATATCATTGCGTGTACTAGGGGCTGTATCAGCAGCTACACAGATGTAGCTTTATTCATGTTTGCTGTAGGATACGTGTAGTTTCCAAGCAAAACTGCCCCTTTCTCTACTTCTTCTCTCTTTTAATTTTGCAGTAATGGAATTAAAATATTTTGCTGACCTTACTGCAAGACCCCCTTCCTAGATTGTCTCTTTTTTTCTTGATTTTTCTCTCCTTTGAGTGACAGTAGCATTGCAGCAAGTTGCAAGATCTGTCTTTTCTGCTCATCTTTGAAACATTACGGGCAGACTGTGATGGTGCTGTAGTGATTCCTCTCCTGAGCA